GCACGGTGGGGCAATCATACCTTTTCCCACTGGGGGTTCAATTTTTTTGCCGTCTCAGCATCAGCAAGAGCTTTGTTAAGCTTAACCAAATGCAAAAAGGCTGCTGCACGGTTGCTGCGTAAAATATAAATATTTTTGTTGAAATATAAGTATAAAAGTATCAATAAAAACCGGCACCAAGGAGGTGTCAACCCATGTACAAGGAATTTACAAATCTACCAATATGTTAATAGGTTCCCAAAATCCTCCCATGAGTAAAGATGATGAGCCAAAATAAAAAAAAAATAAAAAAAGAGGCCCAAACCATCTATTCCAAGGCATGTGAAAATCAATATCTTCATATAACCCCTCAAAAACTCTTCTATTTCTCTCCTGATAGACCGCCCAAAAGATGGTAACCATAATGAGGTCCACATATTTCCTTCGCTCGCTAATATCCTTCTATGCCCAAATTTCATTTATAACAGAGCCTACTATCACCTAATTGATGCCCGAAAACCCATAAACCATCATCCAAATCTTCTAAACCACTAGAAACCATAGAAGAACATGATTACAAGTCTCCTCAACTCCTTTACAGAGATAGCAACCATTCACCTAATCTTGTCCATTCTCATCAATTTGTCAATAGTCAGAATGCACCCCAGCCTCCCACGTGAAGAAAGCGACTCTTGGAGGGGTTTTAACCTTCCAAATTTGTCTGACTGAAAAACTAAAACCATTATTTCATGCTTGATCAAGTGCTCGTAGTGAGACACCACACAGGTGTGTCATTGCTTCTGTCTAAGAACATGAAAGATAGAGTGCTTAGAATTTTCTTTTACTCGTTAATCTCTCAATTGTTGATATTCGCCAACATATTAACCTGCCATTCCTTCACCCCACCCCACCCCCCCCACCCCCCTCTTCCTCCAATATCTCTGAATGAATCACTTAGAAGAATATATCAGTCTCCTCAGAAGCATAAGGCAAAGCAAGATCAGTCTCTTTTTCTTTTCTTGTGATCAAAGCAAGCTAACCTTAAAAATATA